AGTTTGTTATGAGGCACCAAACCATAGAATATGGCTGTGAAATTTTATTACTGGGCTACATGTTGTTGATGGCATAAAAAGACTATTAAAGTTATTTTATGACAATAAGTCTGCAGTTATGCATTCCAACAACAACAGGAGCTTAACAAAATTAAAACATATATATATATCAAGTTTTTCGTTATTAAAGAAAGAGTTTAGAGTAAGCAGATATCGATAGAGCATATTGCAACAAATCCATGATTGCGGACCCGTTCACTAAGAGGTTATTACCTACGCTCTTTTATGAGCACAATGCTCACATGGGTATTGTATCCTTATATGATGTATATGTTCAGTGGGAGTCTTATACCATAGTTGCATTTATTTTGTAAGACATGTTATAAACTTTGTACTTTGATTTTTGTTTATAGTTATATGGTTTCATTTCAGTTATTATGTTTTAGTTTTTTGGGTTACATATTATTTCTAAATTTTCTTGCAGGTGATCTCCCTAAAGTTAAGGCAGAACCAATTGAAAATAAGTATACTTAGATCACATAGCATGTAATTTTCATATTGTGCATTCATGCTTAATCCATGTCATTCGGTTATACTGATATACGTGACCATTGATGAGTTTAGTTACGATTGCTATAACGAAGACCACTTTGATCTTAAGTCATTACGATTGATGGACGGGATTATTTGGTGATGCGTTCAAGTATCATAGCACAGTTCTAAATACTCCTACGACTATTTAACGCATAGTTAAAGTGTAATATATGTGGATACTATTTTTGTAATTTCTCATTTTATGATGGGTAAAATAAAAAAATGCAAAAGTATGTCATATAAATAGGTGGTTATGGTCCTCGAATCAGATGCACGCTATTATATTTTTTAAAAATCTTATCACTAGGAAAAAATCAACTTTTGAGGTTGTGTGTTGATTTAAAAATGTCTACTACAGGACCACAATCGAATCTTCTGCGATGGATTCAGGTTCGCTTTCGTTTATCATTTCTCATTAATTCGGTACTAGATTGCATGTTTAGATTTATCATATCAAGTTTGATTTGAAAAAGTTTTCTAACAAAGAATCTTTATCATATAATTTAACATGTGAAAATTATGGTCGTTAAGATTTATGCATTGTATTTAGGCGTCAATGTTAACCTAATAGTCTTTTTTTCCTTTAAGAGTCTCACAACCTATCTCTATAAATATCTTTCATTGTATTTGTTTTTATTCATTCAAGAAATCAATAAAGTTATTCAAAATGTAGCTAATGGCTAGCTTGTTTCTTCAAGGTTTCTTCAACCTTCTTGTTGTATAGAGGATTGATTTCAACTTATCAAGATATTTCTTTTGGCATTTTAATCAACTTATTTATTTATTTATTTATTTTTAATTGATTTCAACTTATCAAAATATTATTGTAATGTTTTAATCAATTCATTTATCTTTATCTCAGTTACCTTATTTCTAATTACAAATTGATTATGGGTTAAATAGAAATGGTTAATTTATGAATTAAATTTTTATACTAAGAGCGTATGTGTGGATTTGAATGACAAATTATATCTTGGGTTCCACATCCATTGCACATGTATG